ATATACAAGTGAGCTGGTGAGTCTAAGAGTGTTTACATAACAAACTATAACTACTTTTTAACAAAATAAATTATCTAACAAATATCTCTGCTACACTTGACAGGGAGAGGGAAGAAGCTCAACACTGACCCGTCATTAGTTTTCTTCTCTCAATCAAGCCAACCAATTAAATTTAAAATGTCTTAAAATTATCGGACAACTAATTCCCATGCATTTTTACATGTTCATTATTATCATCGATTTTTTTTAATCGGAGATAACACAACAAATTAAAAACATGAATATCCTTTTTTTTTCAATTCACAAATTAACTAACAAATAAAATTAGATACAAAATAAATAAAAAAAGTTATGGAGTACTGTATAATCTTAATATATAATTTTATGACTACAAAAATCCAATTTAAACAAAACAGAGTTGCTCCACAAAAATTGAAATTAGATCAATTTATAAAATTAATATCCATCATAATTTAAGAGATAATATCACTTCCTGTTTTTAATATAAAAACTACATAATTAATTTATAAATATTAAAAAATTAATTAAATTAGTTATTTATAATAAATAAGTGTTTTTTTCTTTAAAATATTATTATTACTATAAAGTTAGTTAGAAAAAAATCTTTTGACAACAAACCATCATATGATACTATCTTAAAAAATATAAAAAATAAAATAAATTGATATTTTTATATTTACAATCAAATTAAATCTTAACGTTCTTTTAAGGGCAAATATATTAAAAGATACTAACATAGTTTCAACTTTCTGCAATGTGGGAATCATAAGGAAACAAAGAGAAAGCCGTGGAGCCTTCTCAAGATATTTGGAGCAATCTGCACGGTCTTCTCTTTGATGATTCGGTCCTTAGATGGAAACACGTGTCAGTCTCACATGCCCAAGAGAACCCTGCACAGTACTGAAACAGTACACACGCGACAGGCCTCCCTTCGCAAGAAAACAACGTTTTTCTTGGAAAGAAAACAACTTTTTTTTTTTGGGGGTTACAGGAAAGAAAACAACTTTATTAGTACCATTAATTCATCATCATCGTCATATAGAGGAGAAAAAGACATAGATAAACACTTTTTGATTTACTCTTTAATTAATATCACACTTCTTCTAGTTGGTGCTTTGATTTGGAAAGGAAAACGAGAAACGGCAAGGAACTCGGAGATTATTTTTTCTTTTATATATGTGAAGCAGAGATGGTGGCAGCTCTGGCTCCTCAAAGCTGATCACATGACCAAGGATAACAAACAAAACCCTAATTTTTGTTGTGGGAAGCTCATGTTGTTGTGCATGTAATTTAATCGATGAACAGCCGTAGGATCGAAGGAATATCATCGATCATCAACGCGGGGGCGGTGTAGATGCTTGTCTCCGGAGTATCGTGGGATCTGAATTGGTTCCTGCAATTAATATTCTCGGCTTTTGTCGTAGCTGTTGGATTGCATACATTGGTCAAGAAGACGGCCTCGAAGTACTTTGAGGTCGACGCCAATTTCGAGGGGGAGCGACCCACTGATCCAATTCCAATGCCGGGCACTCTCAAGGACGATCCTGTTTGTGTTGTCTGCGGCAACTCTGGCACTAAAAAGTGCTCGCGCTGTAAAGCCGTAAGATACTGGTGCGTCGAACAAATAGTCGTTGTGAATCATTGATTTCCTGTTATTATTGTTTCCAATGTGGTTGCGGGATTTTGATCTCTAGGGTCTTGGCAATTCAGTGGTTTTGTGTTTCATTGTTATGGATTTCTGTTAATTCGATGCCGCAACTTCAACGTTGACCCGTGAAGTGGGCGCGTTATATTGGTTTTTAACCTGGCAAGTTGATTTTTGCATGTGCTTATCAGCTCACAGACATGCCAACAGTCACACTGGAACTCTGGGCATAAGTCGAAATGCAAGGATGTTCATTTATCCAGTGGAAATAATTCGACTCAAGCTGGCGCAACTAATCGTAGGTCTAAAGCGTCTGCGGCTGGGGGTAAAAATTTATCTTCGATAGCATTGGTACCTGCTTCCGGCACTTCCAGTTCCAGGCCTATCAAGCATCCCAAAAGTGTAATTTTCTTTATGTGCCTTGATGGAAAATACATTGCGCTTTGCTTACCTGGCTGAATCTTGTGCGTTTTCTGGCATACTGAAATTTGAGTGTTTGACCCATTTTTTCCCCCTTTTCAGGTTCTTTTTCCGTATGATGAATTTGTTAAATTTTTTAACTGGGACAAACCGGGATTTCCTCCTTGCGGATTGTTGAATTGTGGAAATAGGTTCTTTTTTGTCACAACCAAGCTTTACTATATGCGATCATTTCATTGCCATAAGAACGTTCAGTTACAATTTGTTGTGAATCTGTGCAGCTGCTTTGCTAATGTGGTTCTCCAATGTCTCTCATTCACAAAGCCACTCGTTGCCTACTTGATGGAAAAAGGCCACCGCCAAGAATGTAATGTCATTAACAAGACTTTTTGCTTCTGATTGTTTCTGTGACTTTTCCTCATGCTCGTGTTTGTAACTACTTTTTCAGGCAGTTTTAATGGTTGGTGCTTTCTATGCGAGTTTCAAGCCCACCTTGAACGAGTAAGGCAAAGTTCACAGGCTTTTTCTCCAATGCATATACTTTCTGGCTTGCATAATATTGGTGGCGATTTTGTTATGGAAGCCAAGAGGATGCTCATGAGTTCATGAGGTTTATTTGCTACTGCAGCTATCTCTTGACTTTCTGTAGTTAACTGCGCGTTGACCGTGTTTAGAAGGACTCTATATAGTTAATGATTCAAAACAGTAAAGGCTTCTGATATTCTTGTAGGTTTGCCATCGATACAATGCAATCTGTTTGCCTTGATGAATTGGGGGAGAAAGAGCTGTACCTTCTAACGTTCAAGAGACAACCCTAATTCAGCACATTTTTGGTGGTCACCTTCAATCTCAGGTTATGCTTCTGATCAGTAAGAAAATCAGCATTATTATGTTGATTGAATACCTTGTTACTGCTTTTGGTGTGCTCAATGAAATTAGAGACTAAATAATCACTTTGATAGATAATTGATTAAATTGAAGATGCTTTGGTTCTCTCTGAACTCTCACGTGCACATGACGGAGTTCAGAAGAGTATCAGAGACTTGATATTCCAGTAGAATTAGCTTTAGGTGGACATATATGTGGTTTCAGATGTCTTAATCCTTTTCAGGCGAGGACAAATGTTGTTTATGTTGAAATGATCCTTGGTGGGAGAAATTGGCGCAGAGTCTGTGTCAGCATGGTGATTAAGCTGCACATTTATGTCAAACTTTACAAACGAGTTAGAAGGCACTCTACTTATTTTTTAAGCTAACAATGTTCTGGAAAGAATTGCACTGATATTGTGAAAGATAATGTTTTTCTGCATTCTGGCTGGGTTGTCATTTGGGTAAAATACAAGTTGCGATGGAATCTGGCTTTGTGAGCTTTTTGAGTTATGGTTTTCTTGTAGATCCTGATTTTGCCTTTGGACTGCTTAAATCTTTCACTCCTTTTGTCTTTGCTGCCAAATTCATTTCTGTTATTTTGCTTCTGACATGGATGTCGCTGTGAATCCAACTTTTTTTCTTTGGGGGAAAACAGGTTATTTGCACACAGTGTGATAAGGTTTCGAATCAGTATGAAAATATGATGGACTTAACAGTTGAAATTCACGGTGATGCTGCCTCCCTGGAGGAATGTTTAGACCAGTTTACTGTCAAGGAGTGGCTTCATGGGGAAAACATGTATAAATGCGATGGGTAAGGTTGCCTTCCTTTTGAGAAGATACTGATGCCTTTAAAATGGTTGGCTATCTTGTGATGAAATGTTTACTTTGTTTCAACTGTTGTTGATGACATCAGCAACATAGAAACCATTTTCCCCCTTTGCTTTAAGTTGATGGTCATTATTAGGTTGGACATTTAATCTTTCTGGGGTTTCCTTTGGGAAGGCTAGCCACTCTCTCTTTGTTAACTCAAAAGGGGGTTCTCTACTGGGAAAAGGTTGCAGTGAACTGTGAACCATTGATAATTACTGCTTCCTTGGACAACTCAGTAGTTTTGGGAAGTATCAAAGAAGAATGGCAGTAACACTATATATTGAAACTTATCTTGCATCTAAAAACACTACATTCCTTTTCAAATCTGAAAAAAATTTCCTTGGGGAATAAAAGAAGAAATATGGGAAACAAATGCAAATTACTGAAAAGATGGGATAATTCATAAGCAAAGATGCAAAGAAATAACATAACAAAAGCAAACAACTTCAAGATATTACCTCATTAATTATTTCTATATCTGTTGGGAGGCGTGTTTAAAAAGAGGCCATGGATTGAACACCAAAGAGAGGCCAAATAATCAGAAGCAGTGGCAAAGATAGTGTAGTTCATTTATTGAATAACTGAGGGTTGCTGATGTTATTGGACCTTGAGACTCTTTGGAACTTAGCATGGTCCTGTCCCTACAAGTCTCGCTCGTTTTTGCAGGTGTAATGACTAGTTAAGGATGGAAACGTCTAACAGTGAAAAGTGCTCCAAATATTCTCACAATTGCCTTGAAAAGATTTCAGGTTTGAGCAATTTGATCAGGATGTCTTACTAGCTTGTTATTAGGTGCTCTAAATTAGTTAGAAATGAGTTATTAAGATTGGTGGTACTTCTGTCCCCTGCCAAAACATGCATGCAATGTGTGGATGTATGGGGTTAGCCTTGTGATTATGAGTGATAATCTTAATGTGTGCGAATAGCCGAATACGTTTTTTCTCCCTAGAGAAATAAGAGTTTGAATAGTTTTGGACTGCACCTTGTGCAACCCCCCCCCCCAAAAAAAAAAAAAAAATTTGCCACCCCCTTGGGGCATGCAGAATAAGGTTATTATTTAGTGTTGTGCATGTGCAGAGTGGGAGATTTGGAAAACTCAACAAGAGAATAACCTTCCCCGAGACTTTAAACCTCAGTCCCTACATGAGTGAAGCAGGAGATGGATCTGATGTCTATAAGCTATATGCTGTTGAGTTCATCTTGATATGCTGAATGCCGTTTTTTGGTCATTATATCTGCTACATCAGGGTTTTCGCGGAAATTGGTATAGGATTGATGACTGCAAAGTAAGTTTTCTCTTTCTTCGCTTGCAACTTCATATTTTCATCTTTAATCTCCATGTACAGTGCATAACTTTTTAGTTTCAGCGTTCTCATTTGGTTTGCCATTTTCTCAGGTGTGCGCGTAGAATTGGAGGAGGTACTTTCTCAGGGAGCATACATGCTGTTATACAGCAGGTACCGATGTGATTGTGTATAGGCTAAGGCTCTCTCTCTTTCTCTTCTAAAATCCATACTGGCAGAGGCTCACTTATATTGTGACTGCCTTAGCTAGCTTTTCTTGAGAAAGAAAGCATTAGCCCGTGTTTTAATTTGCATGGATTGTTTGAGATAGGGTGTTTACATGTAATTCATGTGCTTGATATGCATGGAGGACATAAGGGGCAGAGGCATGTAGCTTTTCGGACTGTAATTTTGGATAAACAATTCTCTGATTGAAGCTACAGGTTTTAGTTGTGTATTTGGACAGGATCAGTGCCCGGCCTTCTGGCCTTCAAACTAGTGAGTCTTTACGGATGCCAGAAGAGCAAAGAGATGAAGTGGAAGTGAAGCCTGGTTTAACTGAGCAACCAGAAAGCATCTCAAGTATGGAGACTGTGACTTGCAGTAGCAGTTCAAAGGTTTTGCCATCAGATATTAGTTCAGATTTGAAGGCTTCTGCCTCCGATAATGATTCCTTGACTGGAAAGAATTCTATGGATGTGGACACGGTTGATGGTTGAGTCAACTTCTGATTTTGTTAGTGATGCTTCTGGAAGTGCTGTTGAATCACCGCATGTGCTTGCTTCTCGAGCTGTCAAAGATTTGGAGAGCATAGATACGGTCCAAACAAATCCATGTTCATCTCCCTTAAGAGAGACTTCAGGCTGCATCGAAGAGCAAGGTGACACTCATACAGGCAATTCTGATCCTTCTCCAGGTTTGCCAAACGGCTTTCTTGCTTGATAAGAATCTTATTCTTTAACGGATCATCGAAACGGGGGAGACTCGGGGGGATTGGAGGGTGTTAAATTCAAATCAAGCTATGGGAATGGATATTCCAGTGCAAGCGAGACAGGGATCCCAGTTGAGGAGGGTGGTACGAAATTTTCTGGCATTAGTTCGTTACCCACTGAAACATCCTCGGCTAAGATGCATCAGTTGAAGCGAGGATCGCCGCTCTGCAGTTCTTAAACTGCAAATATCAGGAGGAAATAAATTAACAGTAACGTAGGTATAGTTAAATTTGTTATTTGTTAATATCATTTGATCATTATCCCATCATCGGGAAGAGGTGGTGGGCTGGGAAATTATTTTTATCTGGGGTTTCATTATTTGCAGGAACCTTGGATCCTATTGCAACATTTTAGATGGACTCTCTAATTTGATTATAGTGACAGTATAGAACTCTTCATGATATCCCCAACGTTCTGCCTCCTCTAATTTTGCAATAAGAAAGCTCGTTTCTTTTTCCGTTTTTGTTACGCGACAAGGTAATCTTGTTCTCATGTGTTCCTTTGTCCCCCACATGTTCTCTCATGATTGGTCTCTGTACTTCATTCTACAGAAGACAAAGGACGCCAGCTTATGCTTATCTCTTTGCTGTTGTTTTCGGTGAAATTAAAAGTTACTCCTCCGGTCCTTATTATAAGACCCAATTTGACTTTTTATGTGTCCTAATTATAAGACCCAATCCATTTTTTCTCTTATATTTATGCAATTTTTTTCCAAGATAATCCTTCTAATAATGATAGTTTTAGCCAAATACTAATTAGCAAGAATATTTTAGGAATAACAACACTTATTTATTATAAATAACCAACTAACTTATCCTTAATCTCTTCAAATAAGTCAATTGGGTCTTATAATTAGGACCGGAGGAGTATATTTTAATCCTGATGAAATGTGTAAAAATTTAAAGAATAAAAACGTGACATAAAGTCAGTCTGACTAGATGTAATTGTGGATCTTTATAATTTATGTTTAAGGAAAACATCCTATTAATAGAAGATTTAACTTAGATTTCATGCATAACTGTCGAAACTACGCTTCCTATTTAAAGCCTTGGATAAATAAATTAATAAATTTGATTTGACCTGGCTGATTATAAGGTTAGATTTCACTGAAACCGTGTCGGAGGAGGAATTATAAAATCCATGTCAATGAGCGGATTGAATAAAGCGGAAGGTCAAAATAATGTTGGATGCCTACCCTTTGCTGAATTCTACGATGTGGCTTAATATTCATATCGATGACCAAAGGCGTCATTTCTGGGCGTTGTATTATGCTGGCGTTTTTCATTCTGGGGGGGAAAAAAAGTAAGGCGAACTGCTTCATGGCTTTTTTTTTTTTTTGGGGCCACAGAACTACCTTATTGATTAATCCCATGTGATTTTATTCGTGTTTTTAATAAATTTGTTGACCTTGATAACTACACCGTGCATACTAGTCTCGCGTGGCATATAATCTTTTTCAAATTTTTACTTTTAAATAAAACACATATGTTAAACAGTATAATTTTGTCCTTAATATAAGAGTTTTGTTGATTTTTATTTAATCTTAAAATAAGATCCTAAGTTATTTGTTTTTTGTATTATTTTTTTTTTTTAAGATAATATTTTTAATATGGCAGTTTTAGCCATATACTTGATAAGTAGGAAAAATAATATTTATTTATTGTGAATACTAATTTTTTTAATTTACTCAAATTAATTAATTAATTTTATTAAGAATTGGGGTTAGTAATATCTTTATTTTTGCCCACTAATAGCATATATATCAGGCAAAAGAAAAAGGTCAAATAGATAATTTACAGAATTGGAGTTTGTGTGGAAAAAAAAAAAAGTAAACCATTAAAATAAATAAATAAATACAGAAGAAAACACGGGGCGTGACGTGAGCATTCAAATATATTTTATATTTTAAAAAGTTAAAATAAAAAGTTTGAGCAACTGACATGACACCACATTACCTGAGGCACGAGCTACAGGATGACATGAAGCCATGCTGTGTGCACAGTGTTATTTCTGTTCACAACCATGGCCTAAAGGAGCTTCTTATGGGGGAAAAAATAATAAATAAAGGAAAAACCAAACTATGGTTGAATTGTGCATTACGTTATATTTATACTATATACTGTACCATAAAAGTGTAAAAAGTTAGCTTAAGTCTCAAATCTTTAGAGCATTTGCTGGTGAAGTTTTTTTTGTTTGTTTGGGGACCTTGAAGATTTGCCGGTGAACTAACCCTATCAGAGCAATAGCTCTAGCTTCATAATCATAAAGTACCATGCTGTAGCCGGTGAAAGAATTTTAGGTTGGTTAGTTATCAGAAACTCATCAAAGTTTTTTCTTTCTTCCGCCTTGAAACTCATCAAAGTTGAAACATCAAAAACTGCTTTTAGATTATCCGTCAAATTACCATAAAGGTAAACAAGTCGCCGTCAGTAATTAGAGGAGTGAATGAACAGGAAAAAAGGGTTTATTCGGATTCGCAATGGAGGAAAAGCAAAAGGGCCAAAAGCCGGGCCGTTTTGAGAAAAGATGGGAAGCCTCATGTGCGAAACTCACTGGGAGGAGCCTGGCTGGGGTTTGGGCGTATGACTTGGGAGCATCATCCACAAAGCGAGCACACGAGGCGGAGCAAAAGCAAAAGAAAGAAGGAGGGAGCTTAATAGCGGCTTTTTGGCTCTTCACCAATATTTTAATCCTAAGCCAAATGGGTTTATGCTTGGCTTGTGGATGGGACTTTGGAGCATTGACTTTTAGTTGGTGAAGGCTGGGGGTGTTGCAGAAGCAAAAGACAAAGATTCCTCAACGAGGAAGAGCTTGCTTTTGCTTTGGGAGGGTCAGACTCAGCTAGCCACACACAAAAATGACAAACCCCCCTTTGACATAGGCGAGCGACTTTGAAACTCTCTGTACTTCTCTTCCTTTTATGCAGTTTTGCGACGATTAAAGCGATTACATGTGCCGGCACTTGTCTCTTTGGTGTCAAACCCGAATCCAAAGCCCCAATCTTTGAGACCACACTCCAGAGTCAACCATTTCCCCTTCATTTTCCATCCGATCACTCTCATATATTCTCTCTTATATACCCACCCGTGTACCCTAGAGCTAGCTACCCACGAAGTTTCCCACCTCACTTCCTACTCGTTGTTCACCTCGCTTTCCCTTTCCCTTTTTCCGGATCTTCTTGCCCTTCACCCAATACCCCCTTTTAAATACGACCTCGTCATAGTTACCATTCATCCTCAGCCCTATTCGTTGACGCTTGCTATTTCTCTCTCCGGGCGGCTCCTTCACTTCTATCTCAGGTGCATTTCTCTTGATTTCTACGTTCTTCTGTATTGCTAGTTTCTGGGGTTTCTCGTGTGAGCTTTGAACCTTCCGATCAAGTTTGTGTCTTTACCATTGTAAAATCTGATCATTCTTTCAGTTAGATGTGGTGAAAGGGTGTTTGATTTTGACTGCAATCTGTTAAAAAAAAAGAGGGGTTTGCTATGTGTGTTTAGCGTCCGATTTCAACTGAACATATAGGTGGATTTCCCTCCTTGTTGAAGGCGTCCTTGTTCTTCTCTGGGGTTTGGGGAGGATCCGGAATTTCGTTCACATCTAAAGTCCCAAGATTAACTGTTTTGAAGAATAGAAATTCTCTCCGAGGGTTTTCTCCTTTCTGCTCTGTATCAGTTCCCTAAATCCACAGCTTTAATCACTTGTCGAGTTTGCCCCAGACATCATTTTATTTTACTTCATGGGGACTTTCTTTTATTTTGCGCTGACAAATTCCGGGTTCAATTGGAAGCATTATTTCACTTCCATTTCCCAGTTTTAAAGAAGAAAAATTGCTAACGTCCTGGTCACTTGGTTTTCGCAGTTGTCTCTGGCAACTTTCGTGTCAATGGGACTTAACAATTGGCAAGGTAAAAGGACAAGCTTGAAGAGAAAGTCACCAGAAAATGGAGACTGTCCTCTCACCAACTGCCCTTCTCTAGACGACCTTAATGAAGACCTCTTTGAAAGGGTGCTCTCATGGCTGCCAACTTCTACATTCTTCCGCCTTAGCACCGTGTGCAAAAGATGGAAATCAGCTGCAGCCTCTGCGAGTTTCAAGCTCGCCTGCTCTCAGATTCCTTCTCGGGATCCTTGGTTCTTGATGGTCGCTCCCAATCTCAACCAATCATCGTCTTTGACTCTGCCGAAAGCTCCTGGAAAAGACTCAACATGCTCCTCCTCTGCAGGAAGATTCTGACCAAGGTTGTATGCCAGTGGCTGCCTCAGGTGGCTTGATTTGTTACCGCGAATCATCTGGAAACTTTATTGTATGCAATCCTGTGACCGGAAGTCGTAGGCATCTTCCTCCTCCGCATTAGCCCAACAGAATCAACCCCTTAATGCCATTGTCATGACTTCATCTATCTCCACCTACAAGATAGTGTTAGTCTTCGGTGAACTTCCATTTCTCTCTTTCATATCCTACGACTCAAACCGTGGTTGCTGGGAAGATGAGACTTCGCTGAGGAGAAAGGTTGATGACAACTCTATGGAATATGATTCAAACGATGATAATGTTGTATACTTCCTAAGTAAGGCTGGAAATGTCGTGGCAAGTAACATGCAGAGAAGCCCTTCTAAGCAATACTCATCAGTTATTACTAACAAAGATGGTGAGGATATACTCTACTTCCTAAGCTCCTCAGGGACAGTAGTAGCTTGCAATCTGACAAACAAGTGCTTCTCTGAGTATCCAAGGTTGTTGCCTGCATTCTGTGAGTACTCCATTGATGTTGTAGAGTGTAATGGTGAGATGCTGGTAGTCTGTTGTCGGAGTTCTTGGAAAGCACGAGTCTTCGGGTGTGGAAGTACGATGAGGCCGGGCGATGCTGGCCCAGATTGCAGCCATGCCTGCAGCAATGTCTCATGAGTGGTATGGTAAGAAGGCAGATATTAACTGTGTGGGGGGTGAATGATCAGATATTTGTATGCTTGAATTCTCCTGAGCTATGCACTTATGTTGTGTGTGATTTGAGGACTAAAGAATGGATTGAATTGCCAAAATGTTGCATTAAAGGCCAAGACATGGAGTTTATGTCTGCCTTCTCGTTCGAGCCCAGGATAGAGGCTTCTGTATGACACAGCAAGAACGCCTTGCCCTGCCTGCCCTTTCGATCTTTGATTGTTGTTATGCTATTGCTAGCTCATTTTTTTCATCTTCCTTGAGGTTTACATGAGTCAGTATTGAAGCAAATAGCTAGCGGAGATTTGTATGAAACTAACCCAGTGAATGATAGGTAACTGAGGGATCTTCGGATTATCTTCATTGATTGTTAGATGTACGTTGTTTCTGTGATTATTATTGTTAAAATTATCATTATTATTTATTAATTATTAATGAATGATGTCCCTGAGAATTCTTTCTCCTTTCTATTTCTGGGGTTTTCCTCTGTGAACAAGTGAAGCCCACGGATCTCAATCTTTCCTTTCATGGCAAGTCGGCTTCTGATATTGCCGCGTTTTTTTACTCTGTTTGGATTGAAACGTTGAGCTATGATATGGCCGAGACAATGAGCTAAAAGCAATAAATAGAAGAGAAATACTCCTCGGTTATTATAAGACCAATTGACTTTTTATTTGGTCCTAATTATAAGATCCAATCCATTTCTCTCTTAATTTATGCATTTTTTCCAAGATAATCCTTCTAATAATGATAGTTTTAGCCAATATACTTAATTAGCAAGGATATTTTAGGAATAACAATACTTATTATTATAAATAACCAACTTAACTACTTCCTTAATCTCCTCAAATAAGTCAATTGGGTCTTAATTAGGACGAGGAGTATATAGTACTACCTTGGGTATTTAGATTCTAAATACTCTTCCGGTCCTAAATAAGACCCATTGACTTATTTGAGGAGATTAAGGAAGTAAGTTAAGTTGGTTATTTATAATAAATAAATATTGTCATTCCTAAATATCCTTGCTAATCAAGTACATTGGCTAAAACTATCATTATTAGAAGGATTATCTTGGAAAAAAATGCATAAATATAAGAGACAAATGGATTGGGTCTTATAATTAGGACCAAATAAAAAGTCAAATTGGGCTTATAATAAGGACCGGAGGAGCTACTTTGGTCTTAACTATAAGAGTTGGTTGACTAAGTTGAGGAGTAAGTTGAGGAAATTAAGAAAGTAAGTTGAGTTAGTTATTTGTCCTAAATAGGTATTGTCTTTTCTAAAATATCCTTGCTAATAGAGTGTATTGACTAGAACTCTTATTATTAGAAGGGTTACTTTGAAAAAAAAATGTATAAATATGAGAGACAAAGTGGATTGGGAGCTTATATTTAGGACCAAAATAAAAGCCAAACAGAGTTTTATATTAAGGACCGGAGGTAGTATAAGATTTTAATCCACCTTGTTTTTCATGTTTATTTTTTTTAAGATAGTTTTTCTAATAATAGTAATTCTAACTAATAAATTTGATTTGTAAAGATATTTTATGAAAGATAACACTTATTTATTACAAATAACTAACCTCACTTGTTTTTTTAATCTACTCAAATAAGTCAACTAGCTCTTATAATTAGGAAAGAAAGATTATAGAAATGGGAGAGAATAAATAATTAAGGGTACAATTGAAAAAAATGTATTAAATGTTAATACGATCTTATAAAATAGATAAGATTGGAGGGAGTTGATCTCCTATTTTGTATTATAAAATGTGAATTGATCTCTAGGGTTTAATCTCTATTAGTATTTTTGTTTTTTAGCTTATTTAAATTGAGAATCTCTAATCCCTACATATTGTCGGTAATTATTAAAAAAAGGGTAAAATAATTGACCAGTTAAAACACCAATTTTACCTTGGATTAAAAAAAATGCAAAACACTAATTTTACCTTTTCTTCCCCTCCTATCTTTGACATTTGCTGCCTCCTAGCGGCGCCGGCTAACCATTCCAGTCTTGACGACTATTTGTCTGTTAATCCGTTTCATGGTTTAACTTAATCACTCGATTCATACCTCTGACGCAACACGTTCTTTTTTTCTTCTTTCCAGTAATAGGATCTTTATACATATAACGATGAATTGTTGCTGTCTTCGATGCGGTATTAACTTTGCCTCTTACTTTATATTTTAACAATTTGTTGTCAAAACGAGGAGTTCAATATATTTTGTGAGTGGATTTAAAAGAATTAATCACAAATGAATCTGCTGGTTAAAAAAAAAAATCACAAACGGATCAACATCAATATTTAATATATATATATATATATATATAATATTGCCTTGAGGATACCTATGTATTGGCGCAAATAAAAAACATCATTCATAAATTATAGGCTAAAGTATACATTTGGTTCTTGAATCCTAAAATTATTAGGATTTGATGATATTTTTTGTAACGATCATGGATGCTTTGAAAATTAAATTTAATATGTTAGCAGTTGAGAATATTTTATCAACACTTAAGATTTTAATGTCATCATTTTAAAAAAAAATAGAATTAAAAGACTAAAAGTATACTTTTTAAGGTTAATGAATTAAATTAAAATTTTATATAAAGTTAAAAAGCTAAAAGTATACTTTAACCTAAATTATAAATGATAAGCACGGGTCTAACACCAAGTTAATCTGGAAAAAGAAAAAAAAAAGGAAAAAAAAGGCTAAATACTAGACGAAAAATAAATAATAAATCATAAATGTACCCTGCAACAGCGTGAACGAAAATAATTAGGGAGTTGCTCAGCAAATTGGAGACGACCATTCCTCTTCCTCTCTGATTGTTAGACCGGCTTGGTTTCCCCCTCGACAAGAAAATCCATTCCCAAGGATATATAAACCAACCCAAGCAGCAACGCTTCCCAGATTTCTTATCTGAGACGAGAAGAAGAAAATGGAATCGGAGGATTCGGTGAAACTGCAATTGGAGGAATTGCAGAAACATTTGGGGAAGAAGCAAAAGTTCGAGGACGCTGTGTTCTCTCTCAAATCCCTCCTTCAACAAAAATATCCATCCGCTTCTCCCTCTCTCCGCAATCTGTATGCTTGCTTACTTTCTTTCATTTGATTTTGTTTCTTTTTTTTTTTTTTCCGCGTTTGTGTTGTTCGATTCAATTTGTATCACTTGTAGGTTCGCCCATTTAATTTTAACGCCGTTTCTGGTTTCGGTTCTTGTTTTTCAAATTCTCTTGTTTTTGTTAGTAATACATTAGTGAGTAACATGGACACCATTGTTGAAGGATTTAACCGAGTAATTAACTTGATGTGGGCAGTTTTATACGGCTATATGCCGAGTTGCTACTGTATTGAAGACCAGGTATACCGCACCGGGTTTCTGGAATGCTGGGCTGGGGCTTTTTGAGCAGGCTGAATTGCTTGTTTCTGATCCATCTGAGAAGGAACACTTGAAGGGTTGCATTTCTCAGGCGAGGGGAGAGTTGCATCTAGAGGATAATCCGACACAAGCTTCACAACCAGCTCAAAATCCTGTGAATGGAGGTGACCCTCTTTTACATTCTATAACGGTTTGAAATAATTTAACTTCTTTCTTTCCCTGAGATGGTATCATGTTTTGTGTGGATTTAGGGTATCTTTTTGAGGGACACCTTACTGTGGATCCAGAGCCTCCTCAGCCTCAATGGCTTGTGCAGTCAAACCTCTTGACAACAGCTGGTACACTTTTTTCTGCTGAATCATCTCAAGGTTTAGCGGCAGATGATCCTTCACGGGAAAATGCTGCAAATATGCTTCAGGATCTTCTGAATAGATTAGAAGATGCCGTGCCACTGGTATTCATCCCAAATCTTCTCTGTTTCTGTTTGCCGTTGACTACTTGGCTCCAATTCTATTCTCAGATGTCAACGTGGCTTTCAATTTCTAGATTCAGTTTCCTTAGACAAATAAATTGCATGTTGTGGGGCTTATTGATTGTTCAGATTTGGAGCTTAAGCAAGACAAACCATGCTGCCTTGATTTAAGATCAATGAGAAGTAATTTATAGCTCAACTCGGAAAACAAGTGATTTAAGTTGACTATGAAGAGGTTGCCCATTACAGCCCCCATAATTCCGTTCTACTTGTTCCTGAGTAAAGCCAACCTACACTTGAGATTGTTCACCCAAGTATTTCTTCCAGATTGATTAAGGAACCACCATAAGCAACCTACTTATCTGCTAATGTCATTTTACCCTATTCATGGTGTTGCTCATTGTCTCTGTCCTTTAAGAGCATTTATGTCAAAGAATAGATTTAGATACGGTCACTTGTATGTTTACTATTAAGTTTTCATTCGAAAGATAACTACCGTTTTATGATTTTTCTAATTAAAACATTTCAAGCATATAGTTTGCTTAGGGAATTAAATACTTGTCTGTGAAAACCATACACTTGTCATGTTATTTTTGAAAATTTTAGCAATTGTCTTTCGTTCAGAGAACCCAGTTAATTTATTACTCAATTCAAATCACTTGGTTTGTGTTACCTGTTTTTGTTTCTATTACTCATAAAAGGCAGCTCTATAATTACACTTTGCATTGCTTCATCAAAGGGCTAATCTAGCAGAACCTATCAATTTGTGTATTGGATTACAAATCGAGAGGAATTGCAGATATCGTATAAAAACACTAAACATCACTATATGTCTTCTTGTTTAGATGCTGAGTGATGGTCCAGCGCCTCCAAAAGTCCCTCCTGCTAGCAAAGAAGTTGTGGCAAAACTTCCGGTCATTACTCTTACAGGGGAAATCCTGGCTAAGTTGGGGAAAGATGCCGAGTGTGCAATTTGCAAGGAAAACTTGGCTTTAAATGACAAAATGCAGGAGTTGCCATGCAAGCACACTTTCCACCCACCTTGTCTGAAGCCATGGCTGGTATATTTGGGAACTTGCCCTGATATGTTGGGAACAATTTGGAAGAACATGCAATTTTTGGTCTCCCTTTTAATAACATTTTGTCTTTGTTAAAAATATCGTCTCTATGTTGCAGGACGAGCATAATTCATGCCCTATTTGTCGGTATGAGCTGCAAACTGATGACCATGCCTATGAGAGCTGGAAAGAACGCGAGAAGGAAGCAGAAGAAGAGAGAAAGGGTGCTGAAAATGCCGTTCGTGGTGGCGAATATATGTATGTTTAGATGGTTATCTATTCCTTGTATTGTCAGCAATTTTTATGAACTACTACATGTGAATTGTTCATTATTGAAGATAGAGTAATACCCTTTCAAGTTTCTCAGGTGTTTACTTATTGTTGGCTGTTTTTTGATATCCTGTGCCCATTTAATTATACTTCGACTGGATATTGATGCTATATACCGAAGTTGATAGGGACTTCACCATGAATGCCTGTGTTTTTGGTCCTAACCAATTGCTAGAGTCGTGATTTACATTTGATAGGGAGAGAGGTTCTACTCCAGGTCCGGTATCGTATAGGCGTGGAAAGAGTAGGCGAGGAGGTTTGGTAGGGCCCGTAACTCCGAGCACATGGGCTTTTCTTTTATTTACTCCAAGCAGCTTTGATGCAAATCTTAAAGAAGGCTGAGTTATCCTCTCTTCATATAGCTGATAGGTGGTAATACTCTTTCCTTCTAGATTTGGTTCAGTTAGATTACGACTTTTCAGGATAATAATCTTCAATATATAACTCGTAGAACATGGATAAATCACATAGGAATCAAGGATGCTGACAACAAAAAATAAACAAGGACTCAAGTATCAACCATTCTAATAATGACGCCGCCCCACTAGACGAGTTCTGGCACATCTCAGATGAACAACTATACTTACAAGTAAAATTACTCGTTTTCTCAGGAATATACAAATCACGAGGGAAAAAAAATACAAGCGCAATACTTCATAGGACAAACGAGTTAATTTGACGTACCGAGCACCATCTTTATACAAACAAGCAACTTTGAAGCGTAGCTGATCCGACGATAAATTTCAACCCATCAAATCCAGCGGCGCGGCCTTCTCAACACAAACATTGCCTCAATAAAGAATAATTTCAATCTAATAAAGCATGAAGAACATATTTGAAGCTCACCAATACACTTCCAGTCTTTTAAGCTCGGTACTAAAGAAGATACAAATCACAATAACTTATAATAACCAATGGCAACCACTCTTGACATCCACGTTCACATTGCTTGAGAAAAATACTAAAGCACTTCTCAACTGACCAACGTGGGTGTGCAAGGTGATTATATAAAATTGGATGCTGTCTGTGTCCCCTCAGAAACCAAAGTGATCAGGCCTGCATGACAATCCTGTTCATAGATAGAAAATCACATGACCACAACCAACACTTTCTGTGAATACTGGAGCTAACACTGAGCCACCAAGAACCTTTATCCTAATATCGAGCATTGATCAACTACCCAGCCTTCCTCTGCTCTGCCTGTTTGAAGGCCTTTGTGCACTATGAGTTAATTCATGAGGCTCAAAATTTCTATCTCTTCCAGTTGCAGGTCCCATTGCATCATTCCTACGACCTCTTCGGTTTGGTTTCTTCATATGACGGTGAGATCTGGATCCATTAGACCTCTTTTCCTCAAAGACCAACGGCTGGATCCCCTGCAGATCAGGCTCTGGAACATATCCTATAGGCCGTTTGGAAGCATCCATCCTTCTAAATGTGATAGATATCCTAATAAATATTAGAAAAAAATTGGATTTGAGTCAAATCAACATGAAAAACATAGAGGGACAGCAGCAGGAGAAATACAATTTCATTAAGTACCTTTTCGAAGAAACTGCAGGCACACAATGCTTAGCTACATCAGCTCCATTTCCATTCAACACAAGTACAGATCTGGAGGGAAAATGCTACTATCAGATTTTTGCTTCTCCATTGTAACCATCACTTGATTGAAAAATCAATGCCAAATCTTTGGCCAAGTTAATATATTTGAAAAATTAATTACATAAAGTACAAGAAATAAATACTGACTGAATACTTACCCCACAGGCAGGGGAATGGCAACTGAACCATCAAATTCCCCAGCACCGACAACCTTTAAGTTGGATCCAAAGACCATATTGCACTCACTAAGAAATGATACAGTGCAAAATGGTCGAACGAAATCATGATTGTCTATGTGCGGAGGTATACAGTCGCCTTCTTCATAAATATTAACAATGCAACTATCAGGCACACAAGTAGGAGGAAGTACATGCCACCTGATCAACCTTCGGATGATGACCTTGAAAAGGTCAGGAATAGGATCTACCATCACATTCTGAAGAATGCCAGGTGGGTTACCATCTTTATCCTGCAAGCAGAATGTGAGAAAGTAAGAGTTCCATCTCCCCCATCAAACTAATCAGCGATCATAATGGGGCTACTCAGGTATTAAAGTTACTCCATTTCCAGAAAGAATGCGTAAAAGATTTGTGAAGGAGGCATAAGAAATAGACTAACTGTTGCATAATTGTAACAGCACCCAAATTGGATAGTTTGGCGTCCCTTGCCTCTCATCCACTTTTGAGGAGCTGTATACGTCCGACCTGCAAGAGTTTAAAAGAATGAACAACATAGTCCCTCTGCAATAATACCTCCTATTACACCTAATAATCAATGGAGTACAGCCAACTGAGGAAAAAGAGAACTGTTTTTCTTTCCATTCTTTTGGATGGTAGTTAACACAGGCAACCCATGATTTCAATATGAATATATCCATAACTCTAAACAAAGGATCATTGATTAGTTCCCAACTCATTGACCACGCTGAGTTGTTGGGAACCCTAAAATTCCAGAAAAAAAGAGAATTACATCTACATGATTTACTACTTATCATTGAGATAATGAACATTATCTGCAACTGAAAATTATATCCGGGTTTCTTCACGATTCTTCACCTCACTCTGAACACATATTTCAATTATCAGAATTTTGCTCTCGTGACAGAATTATAAGATAGGAAGTATGGGGTGTTAACTTTATTTATAGCCAGAAAAGACTGCAAAAGATACATTCATAGGACAAAGAATGTATTTTGACAGAATCCACACTCTTTTACAATAACAAAATTATTCCCCAAAACGTACAAATATTTAGCCTGCTTCAGAAAAAAAAACCTGCAATACCCATCCCATTGGGAATTCCATCAATTACTTGTCTATCAAAAAATAATTTAATTAGCTAATCTTCTTACATTATTAATTAAAGATATTCTATAAAAAGCATCTATGTAACTACAATTATATGACCAATCATATATGAGATTTCTTATTTTATCTGCAACAATCTTTTTAGATTCACAACCACCGCAATCTTAGAGTACAAAAGTGTAATCTTTAAACCTTAAATGAACATGTCAGTTCAGCTCCCAGAAATACCTTTACGAACTTAGTCCTACCAGAATCTTGAGGATTTTCAGTCTTATTTTGATTTGTTTGTGATGTCGTGGTCACGAATTGCTATCTCATAAACTTATAGGATCTGAGCCAATAAGTAGTAGAGGAGTAATCATGCCACAGACATGACAATAGAATAAAATGCAAAACAAAATAAGGATGCTTTTAATGATATGCAGTCTTAATCACATCACTACTAATAACATGCAATGGGAAATACAGCTATGATGATAGATCATCAAATTCATGCGAGTACTTTTGGTCATCTAATAGCTTATCTTCATTTCTTTGTTTTCTCCCTGTGAAAGTCATCTGATGGTTAATCTGCATAATCTTCTACTCATCCATTGCGCACTATAACACTAAGAGTGATTTGATTATACCCTACAATTTAACATTAACCAAGTTCAAGACTACGGACTGTAAAGTTTCAAATATGTTAGAAATGAAGACAAGAGAAGTGATTTCAACTAATCTTGTAATGCATCCGTGTGTTTCCTTTCACATATGTAAAATCAGATGATAAAGGCAGCAGTAATTCCTGCAGTTAGCAGAGTAGAAGACAACTAAATATAGGGAGTCCTTCTGTGTCAAGCTAGAAAAAAAAAATCCAAAACCATCGCCAGGAGAAGAACAATATAGCCGGCATATTCAAGTCAAGGCCTAGGCATCCACATTGAAATTGGCTTTCTGCTATTGCTGTTTTTTAACAGTGACCTGTGTAATTAAGGCTAAACAGTTATCTGTTCACTATAAATTTTAGACAATGACATATATTAGCATAAATTTCATAGTTCATGCTAACAAAATAAATGGTGCGATATACTAGCATGTTGAGACAACAAACCTTTCAGTTCTCCCTTTTTTCCCATCTCTTGCAGTGAAGCAACATGATTGACTATCCTTTTCTGTTCAGCAGCACTAAAAATACCCGTATGGAGTTCAAGCCCTTCAAGTATGTTGACAAGTTTTCCATTAACCCTCTCAAAGCACATATAGTCCTTCTCACGCCGGACATTCATAAACCTAAGGTACTCTCGCTGCTCCCAAGACAACTTAGGCTTCTCGGGAACTTTTGTTGTAGTTCCATCCGAAGAACTTGCATTGGCCGGCAACTCGTTATGCTCTTCTTCAGCAAACTCATCCTCCTGCGCCATGTCCGCCCAAGACATACGAGGGCTCGGGGTCTCCAATAAAGGGGATTCGTAATTGACTTCACTCACTGGTTCAGACCACCGAGATGCTTCACCCGAATAACTCGCTTCTGCCCCATCTTTCCAACTCCCAAGAGAATTATTATCGTCATGATCGTCACCCGTCTCATGCGATTGCGTATTATTAGCAACAGAAGCATTCGAATCGTCTTCAAATTGCTCTCTGGGAGCATCACCATGAGGCTCTACAAGATTATAAAGGGAGAAACGTTTCCATCAGTAAACTACCAACACTTTTTAGCGCATGCAGAATATAGTTACCAAAGAAATAACAAGCAAAGAATCTGCCAAGGTCCATAATTGCTTTTCAATTATTACGCTTAAATATAACAAGCAACGCCACGAGAAGAGACCAAGAGCCGATAAAAAACAAAAAAGGAAAAGTAAAGCAGTTTACCGGGGTCAATGGAACGGATGCGTTCAGAAAGAATTGCAGAACAGCGACCGCAGAGATCTTTGGAGAGAAAGGGAAGCCATGTTGCGAAGAACTCGGAGGCGATTCGCAGCTCGGAAGGCTGGTAATTGAGAAGGAATGGGTCATCGGATCTGGAACGCTGCCCGTCCATGGCCCAGTCGACTGAGATGCCGGAACCGGATTCCGCTCCTGGTTCGCCTGCGAAACAGTGGTAAGAAAGCACAACACGCCCAGATCACTCCGCTTTCCAGTTTCAGTTCTATTCTTTATCTCGTTAATTCTAAACAATGTATGGCCATATATATACAGGGGGAGCCGGGGGATTTTTTTGTTAGTCCTCCTTTTTTCAGTATTCCTACAAAACTACTACGACCTAAACAACCATGCTACTACTTTTATTTCATCAATAAAAAAAAGTTTCAATTATTTAATATTTTTATAACAGTGCAATACTGTTAAGATAAAAAAAAATTACGCTATTTGTAAATCATTCATTAGAGCTCATAATTAGACTATATTTAATTTTTTTATAAAATGTTGGCAAAAAATCATAAAATAATAATTTGAATCTTGCAGCATAGGTCATGTGACATGAGCTTTTCAAGCTTGTGTGTTAAGATATGCAAATCACCAATAGATTATATTCGTCAGTTTTTAAATATAAGACTTACTACCTCCGGTCCTAATTATAAGACCCAGTTGACTTATTTGAGGAGATTAAGGAAGTAAGTTAAGTTAGTTATTTGTAATAAATAAGTGTTGTCATTCCTAAAATATCCTTGCTAATTAAGTGTATTGGCTAGAACTATCATTGTTAGAAGGACTATCTTGAAAAAAAATACATAAATATGAGAGACAAAATGGATTGGGATCTTATAATTAGGACCAAACAAAAAGTCAAACGGGGTCTTATATTAAGGATCGGAGGTAGTATTTTATAATGTAAATTAGATTATAATATGAATAGTATATTTAAAATCGCAGAAGTAGATACTAGATTTGTTGGTGATATTACGGCCAGTCAAAATTGCCAGTGCAATTACAAAATTAGATGTTCCGGGCAAAAAATTACAAAATTACATGTAATTTTGACTATGGTTGGAGTTGTTTCGGAGTAACGTAGATTAAACATTTAATATAGTTTCCTATTTTATTCAAATTGATTTGGAATAATTTGAGTTTCCTACTCGGTGCAATTTTTTACTATATCTGATCCTTAACGTAAGAACTTACTTAACTTTAATTTTGATATTAAATATAAGACACCAATCTATTTTGTTTCTAATATTTATCCATTTTTTTCTAAAGTAGTCCTTCTAACAATGATAGTTCTAACCAATATACTTGATTAGTAAGGATATTTTAAGAAAGATAACACATATTTATTACAAATAACTAACCTAACTTCTTTTCTTAATATTCTCAAATTAGTCAACTAGCTCTTATAATTAGGACCAAATGTAGTATTATATTAAAATTGACGCCATTGCGTTGATTATTGATTATTTGATTATTGTACTTACTACAATTCGTTGTATTTTCCTGTTTAGTGTATTTTTTATTCTTATTATAATTATTAATTTCGATTGCTGTAATTATTGCAAATTGATTTTGTATTGATACGGTTTTTCTATCTGGTTCCTCACCCTGACCTATTCATGTTTTGGAAAACTGCTTTAAATTCTGTATTAGGCACCAAACCATGGATATACGTCGTGTCATTGGTGACATCAAATACCGCATCCATCATAATAATAATAATAATACAAAAACAAACATAATACATAACATATGGATCGATTGACAGATTTTTCTTTTGAAAAATAGAAGATTGAAAGATTTTTCTCTAATTTTACACAATTAAAAATACATGTGCATACAAAATGTGTTAATATCAAGTTTAACAAAATTTTGTTCAAACGCGACAAGTGACAGGTATGTGATTGAGATATGAAAAATGGGTTGAAAGTTGTTTAACTTTGGTCTTACATATAAAATTTTAATTAACTTTATTTTTCATATTTATCTATTTTTTTTCAAAGTAGTCATTGTAATAGTTGTATATATTAAAGGTTCCATCAAATGATAATTATAGCTAATACATATGATTAATAAAGATATTATAGTAAATATAACACCTACTCTTCCGGTCCTAAATATTACACTACAAAGTGTGTCTTATATTTAGGACCGAAAGAATATTTATTATAAGTAATTAATTTAACTAATTTTTTAATCTTCTCAAATTAGTTAATTATATTTTATATTAAGGGTGGAGGTTGTATGACTGCAATGAATGATGTGATAAAATTCACTCAAGACTAGTTGACATGTTCTAAGTTATCATTCATACGTGATGATAATGCCTCTTCTCTTATTGTCTGTCATGAACTCATGATCGTTGTTGATAGCAATTATTAACGATTTTACAATTATGTCTTGATTTTCTCATTACATCAAAATCCTCTTCCTATCCTAGAACATGCCTTCCTCAATTGAAGTTTGAAGAATCCGATGAAGATTGTGGTGTCGTAGCAACAAGATAACTTCCGCTGTAATTTGGAAAAAGTTCCAAAATTTTTCACCATGACTTCCTTGTTAAATGATGATATGTGAATAATTTAATTTTTAGATTTTTTTTCCCTGAAAGATGAAAATAGCGAACTCCTGATTCAATGGGGAATGGGCTATCGGGAAGCAATAACGGAAGCAGAGGCCCCAAATCGTGGCAAAATCTTCAACATATGTTTGTGCCTGTCTCATTGATGGAAATTCGTAATCCGTTTTATGGCCACCATGAAAATTCTTAATTACCACTCATCCATCCCATCTCAAAACAAAATATTAAGAAAGACTCATTCTTTAAGATATGTTTTTTGGACTGCGTCTTCAACGTTCAAACTAGTTAACTAGGCAGTGGTTACACAGTCATGGAGCTTGCCATCTCCTCTTCCTGTGTCGCAGGTTCAGATATCAGATGCCTATTCTGTTCGAAGAAGGCCAAGAATCTATCGAGCTCTAGTAGATTAAGATACCCGCATGGGATTTCGGATAAATACTTAGATTTCCTCACCCCGTCTCATGCACCGAGTCCTAAAATGGTGGCATCGGCAACAAAGATGGTTTCGAGTGTGTATAGAGGCAGAGACAGCAATATCAGATTCAATAATAACAAGATTCTAAAGCTGGATTCCTGTTTGGTGATTCCGCCCGCACCTAATTGCGGCAAGCCTCGCGCTATTATCAAATTCTTGGGCGGTGCTTTCATTGGCGCTGTTCCTGAAGTAACCTACGGGTATATTGTTTTGCCCATTATACCGGAGATCCATTGCTATTACTAGCTGGAGTTTTTGACATTGGCGTGGTGTTTTGGTCCTTTAATTTGATTATTGCAGTTATTTAATCGAGTATCTGGCAAGGGAAGGTTTTCTTGTTATTTTGGTGCCTTATAATGTGACATTTGACCATACACAAGCTGCCAAACAAGTACATGAAAGATTCCAGGCTTGCTTGTATACTATCCTGACTTCTGGTTTGCCTGAAGCTAATTTGTCACCTGCCCAGCTCGGAGACCTTCCGCTTTTCTCTGTCGGCCACAGGTAAGTGAGTGAGTCATTGAGCGACAATCTTATTGGAATCTGTGGCAAAAAAATAATTTATTTCTTGTCTTGAATCTGTAGCAACGGTGCGCTTCTTCAGCTACTCATTGGAAGCTATTTTTCTGAGAAGATACCCAAGGTGTTTCCCCTCTCTTCCGCAGCACTAAGAGCACATTTTATCTCCTTTTGTGCACAAAATGATTTCCATGTTTAGTCTGAAAATAATATCATATACATATTCTGCTAGATGTGTTTTATTGTGTGGAAGGATGACGCAATTTGTAAAATATTATTTATTGCAAAGTAACTTATAAAGTTAATAGCAATTCAAGGAGTATGACGAAAAGTTATATATATATTTTTTGTGGAAGGCCAATGCCATAATCTCATACAACAACAGGCCAGCTACAGAGGCAGTTCCTTACTTTGAGCAGGTATTATTACTAATTGAATGCTGAATTTACCAGAGTTCTTGCTGCTACCTTTTTAACGAATTCTTGCTGTTGTAATGAATTAGCTATATTGAGTGTCAGATAATTTTAGATGATTGGTTTACACGACAGAAACTTTGTCTACATCATTACATAAATAGTTTCTGTTCATTGATTCACATTGGGCTTCTGAACTGACTATTTTCTCTAGAAATATTTGTTGGTTTGGACTGGCTTCTTTGAGATTCTGCTTTTATCCTTGAGATTTTACACAAATCTATTGAGTCGGGATGGAAATAATTTTAAGCATTTGACAAAGTTTAAATGGATATGTTGGGAAAACGCCTGAATGGACTATAGTATTGGCTGTTTAAAATTGACTTTCGGAAATTATTGTCTATCCAATTCCATTTTAGTCTTTCTAATGCCATATGTGAGCATTGGCATGTAAATTCAAACATGCCAAGAACTTACAATCCATCTGGATGAAATATCTAGTTGGTCAAGGACAGTCAATGATGCCGATAAAGGTAACGGAGTTGATAGTTTCCCTATATAAACCCTGTTCTGTACAGCATAAGATATACTATACTGGAGTAAATTGCTTGAGGCACTCACTTTGCATGGCCGTTTGATAGAGAAGCCATGGTGCAAAGGCCTTCTAATGTTCATAATCAAATTTCTGATAAAATTGGGCTTTTTAACGTTGAGTTGCTTGTCTAAGTTGTGCTCCAAAGTTTTTTGCTTGAACTGTTCTGCAGTTGGGTCCTGTAGTCAGTCAGATGATGCCGGCGGTGGAAGCAACTCCTGTGTATGCAATGGCTAGAAACGCAACAGGTAGCGCCTTAGCTTGCTTATGATGGTTTGCATTGCAGAGGTGTAGTGAAATTGTGTAAGCATTATATTTCTCAACTTGAAAACTTGTATCTTACTCCTTTGAGTACCAAGATTCAACACCAGGAAAGACCCTCCCTGGCTGGTTTGACAAAAAGTATATAGCGTACCTTAATTTGTTCTTTTACTAGTCACTAAAGGTGATGAGAGATGAAAAATGACTAGAAATGCATTTACAATATTGGAATCATGTTTGGCCCCGCATTGAAAAAGGTCGAAGTGGCATGGAAGCTAGTAATACAAAAGCTTAAACTTGAAGCCTTCGACAAACTGACAAACTCTCAAAAGGACGTAGAAGGTCTTGAGTCCATGGTAATATACCTTAGGTTGCCATTGGTTCTGGACTTAGCGGCCTTAAGTTTTTATTTAGGGAGTGGGAGGGTTTCATCCTGTTGAGGCTCTTGAGAACAGTTATTCGTTGAGTAGATCTCTGAGGGGATGGACTTACCTCACTTTGGTGGCTGGGCAGACATTCCAACGCACTGCTTAAGATGGGGTGTCAATTGCCAAAGCCAGGAGAAGTTTCTCAAGGTCACCCCGGTTCCTTGCTTTGGAATCTCTGACCAGTTAAACATGGCCAAGTCATTCCATCTCCCAGTTCGTTGATTAGGACAAAAGTCATTAGCACTACGTTAAACCTAAAATCGTTGTCCATCTTTTGTAATAATTTGGTGCATACAAGCACGCACACACGCATGTGTATTGGACTTGTGTGTGTTTGTTAATTGTGGTTGTCACCCTCGACATCTGTGCAGGAGATGCATGGAAGACAATGATAAATGCTGTTGGATCAATTGTACAGGAAACAGAGCGGGAGGCTCTAACTTCTTTGACTAAATTTGTTGATCAGTTGCCCTCAGTAATGAATGAGGTGTGTGTTAATTGCAGATCTATGAGATTATGTTACTGTTGTGCTATTGATTACAATGCCTACACGTTTTTATGTACTGTCCACACCCTTGTAGCCTTGATGAGTTTATTCTAGATAGTTATGTTTCTTGTGGATGCTTATGATTCCTACTTGATAAATAAATGATGAAAACCAATTTGACGTTGACTTATAAACATATTTGGAGTTTCAACTTGAGCATGACCATATATATCTGTCAGGTAACTCAAGGGGTATCAGAGTTTAAGCCAACTCCATCTGAAAACCGTGATTGCTTCAAGTGCTCATACAATGTTGAACACACACTACTGGTTTGTATGCTGCCTTGTGTTTTAGGACATCTTTAATGGTTAAATGTCATTCATGAGATATTTGATGTGTATATATTAACCTCTCCAGGTGAAATTCAGTTCTGACACAATTGATGAGACAGATATACTTGAAGAAACATTGAAGCCCCGTGTGGATTCTTTGGGTGGTACACTAGAAAAAGTACAATTAAGTGGTAATCACATCACACCCTGCATACAGGTAAAAGTCCGTTATGCCCTCATCTCAGTACAAAATATTGTTCCATTGCGGTGATCCTCTTCCTTTTCGGTGGTATATGCATCCTTTTGGGTTTTCATAACAGAGACTTTCTTCACGTTGAAGCATCCCTAGATTTTTGTAAATGAAGCGTTAAGAATAAGTTGTCTCAAAAAAGTAGAATAAAAAGGGAAGAAAAAAGTTTTATCGATTGACTTTTTATTTTTATAGAAGAATAAAGCACGACTTTTAGGAGTTTCTTTTCTTTTATTTAGACAACAAAAGTTTCTTCTCAAACTTCTGTTGTAAGGCTTGACGATGGATTTCTTAGAATTCATGTAATCCTGTCTTCTGGTTTCATTGTTCCGTGACTGGCTCTGGTTGCAATGGGTGATCAGGATCCAAAATGGCAAGTGGGTGACTTGTATACTCCAGCAGATGCTATTGCTCAAGGCCTCAAGTCTCTTTCTTTGAATGAAACTAAAATCCTTGCCAGAACTATAAGTGACTGGTTCAGGCGTTTCGAGAGTTGAAGGGACAGGGAAGACACGAATGCTTCAGCAACGGGATGGCATTCGCAGTAAACTATTAGCCAGATATAAGAGGTTTCCGTGTTGTGTATGCAAATTGTAAGATTAAAACGGGTGTCAAATTTGCAGTCATAATCATATATATAATCCTATGCACTGGGTTGATACAAGTCCATGCCCAGATTATATGTAGTCTCTAATTTTGAAAATAAAATTACAAGTGAGCGTACTAAATTTGATTAGAAAGAGGGGAAAAGTCAAGGGATGAGGCGGCTTTGGATGATTTTGTTTGAAATTGTTCATGCATCGTGTCCATTAGTATTTGCATGCCAAGTTGAATTTATGGAGTGTAATGCTACTTGCCCGTGATTACGTTGTACGATTTTTGTGGTATTTTTAATTAACAATTTCAACGCAGAACACAACATGGATGACGTTGAAGAGTAAGAGGGTTGGTAGGCGTAGCAATGAAGGAAGTGGGCAAGGATGATGCAGGTTTGTGAGAAAAGACAACCTTCCTTTGCTGAAACAGACAACTTAAATGTAAACCTGGTGAAGCCTCAAGGCATTAATATAAACGTAAATGTAATAGGAAAGTCAAACTTGAAGACATCTTCCTTGGATACCCTTAGGATTGGCAAGCGATTTCTCTTTTAGGGTCACTATTTTCGACAGGCTAATTTGCCCGTACCCTTTACAAGAGTTTTTTTAATCAAGATTGGAAGTAGTATTTTTAATTTTTGCTCCATGTGCAACGCACGAGATATTTGGTGCTAGTTTAAGGTTATAAATGACATCAAACTCACGATGTTTTACTCGTAAGATAACTTTCATACCATTAAGCCTATTGGCAGATAAATATTTATAGGAAGTTTTGGAAGTGTTTTTATGTAAGTCGAGTCAAATCTTTTATCACATATTTATCTTGTACGCTGTAAAATTAGTTATAGGAAACTAACCCAAACACCTCTTAATATTGTTATTTAATTGAGTTAGACCAAAATGTAAATTGAGACTAATAGCGTAATTTGTCGCTGCTAGAGTATCTGTGACGGGAATAGTATCGCTCAAGGAGATTCAAGGAACCGTAACATAGAATGGAGATAATGGAAAAGTGAAAGGGTGTCCTGAAATTTCACATGACGGATTGGGTTTGATTGGTGGCAAGTTGGCCTTCAACGCCATGGTTAGAGAAAGGGGGAGGGTATGGTTGGATGAGATTCTAGAGACTTTCCGCTCTCTTCTTCGCACGTCAATCTTGAGAAATTTGGGTGAGCAGCTTGAAGGGGTCGTTGTCTGGAATTACTGCGCAGCAGAAGCAGAGAAAGTTTGGTGGTGTTGGTGGCAGATTAAAACATGAAAGATGGTCCCACTTGGCCCCATCTCCCATTTTTATAACACGACAGCGACCTTACATTTTGTAGGGAGGCTAAGTGTGTCTCACCCCACCTTCCCTTTCATTAAATTTTGATCTCACCCACCTTCCCCACATGCATCTAAATCAATCAAGTGTAACAGACGAAAAGAGGAAGAAGAAGAAGAAGAATATGGTCAGTATTTTCATGTTTTTATTCTCTTTTTTTTCCTTTTTGCATTTTCACGTTAAAAGGGCACTTAAGTTTCTAATTTCCTGAAATCTAAGCTCATTTCTCATGAATGCACAATTTAGTCCAGCTCTCAAGTGGAGACCACAATATCAATGGGAGTCGTATGCGCTTTGGCGAGTTCGTGATCGTGTTTAAACGGGTTAATTTGGTTCAGCGTTGAGCTCTATAATTACACCTACTAGCTTCAATACTTAATATAAAATCTATTAAAAAAAATTAAATTTCATTTTAAATATATGAACCATTTTATTTCTAAAATTTATAATGTTTTTTTTCTAAATCATATTAATTGGAAGGTTCCTATAAAAAATTGTTTCAGTTTACATAATTCAAGATGTTAGTTTAAAAAAGTTAACGCATATTTATTACACTTAACCAAGTTAATTGTTTTTTATAATTTTTTTAAATTATTTATTTAACTTCTATATCAAGGGCAGTGTGTAGTATTATGTTACACCTATAAATTTATTTACAAAAATTTATAGATTTTTGTATCATCAGCTTTTATAATATAAATTAAGATTTATAAATTTTCGTATAAATATTTGTTAAAATGTGTTTGCGCACTTATAAATTTATTTATCAAACATAATAAATATAAGTAATTTGACTTAATTTTATATTTAAAAAAATTAATTGAATTATTTGTTATAATAAACAAATATTGGTTTTTGCGGTCACGGTTCATCAATCCATCGCGGTGAGAGGGCGGGTGACCAAGCCGCTTGCATATCGTCACAGGGCAGCGTCCCACGTGGACACCGCGATGTCATTGGAGTGTTCAAACTGGAGCCACGTGGCAGGGTCAGGTCCGGCAGTTTCGGCTGGAAGAAGATTGGCCGTCCGATTATAAGGGGTCACATCATGTCCGGCCCGCCCTTGCAGGCGGTGGATCCAGGGAATACGCCTTCTCTTCCCTTTGTTTGATTAATTTTAATTATTTAAATATATTTTCAGCATAAAAAGTTTTGGGTTAATAATATCTTTAATCATAAAATTTAATATCATTTTAGTTTTAATCTCTAAAATTTTAAATTAATAATTTTAATTCTTAAGATTTGACTTCATTTTAGTTAGTCTAAATAATTTTATCCTAAAATTATAACTTGTTTGAGAAATAAAGTAGTATTAAACCAACATTTTTTTATAAAATTTAATGAATGACTCATAATATATTTTTAAAAATATATGAATCTCTATGTTCCATTTTATTTATTCTTTTCGTCTTCATCCTCCAATTAATTATACCAATAAAAAAAAAGTTTTGGGTTAATAATATCTTTAATCATAAAATTTAATATTATTTTAGTTTTAATCTCTAAATTTTAAATTAATTATACCAATCAAAAAATTGTTTCAAGAAGTTGTTAATTTTTTTATATTTAATACATTTAACTAATTTTTAAATTTTATTAGAATGACTAATAAAGTCTCACATAAAAGATTAAAGTTTTATCAAATTTATTGCCACAATATGATTGCATTTTAAGTAACAAATCAAAGATGGAAAAGAGGGCACATAAAGGAACGTGTTATCATAAAAAGCAAAGAAGTAAGGTTCGGATGATATGGTTTTCTTTTCTAATCCTAAATATAAGATTTAAAATAAGTCTTACGTTTAGAATTTAAGGAGTATAATATTATGAGATTTGAACCATGTCTAAAAGAGCATTGCCCGAGGCTTTATGTTTTATCTCCTTATATCACCATTTACATTAATATTTAGTTTGTAGTTTAAAATAAATCATAAACTATATCTTATATCAAGCATCTGAATTTAACAATTTAAGATATACTTATGTAATGTACAGGCTAGCATTATAATTATACATACATATGATGAACATAATAATATGAGTATATTAAGAGGGTGTTTGAAAATAGTTAAATGTAAGTCGAAACAAAACTTTTTTTACATTATCTCGTATATTATAAAATTATTTTAAAATCATATTTTGATCTTTAATCAACAGTTCCGAAGTTAAAAAAAAAAAGTCATGGTTTACTATACAGCGCATACCCGCAAATGGCCCATCCAAAAGCAGTGGCTTTTGGTAGGAAATGACCGGAAATGTTCACGACCCAATTTACAGTTGAGGTCAAAAAATGGCGGCAAGGAGGAAAAACTGAACATTTTAAAGAACTCAGCATAATTATAATTTCCGCTCTGGCAAAATATATATACATATATAATATTTCCGCACTGTTACCCCACGAAAGGGACACAAGATGCAGGGTGGTTATTGCTCCATGAGAGTGGGGTTCACTTCGCAGCATATGAGGGGCGTCATATATGAATGCTAATTAATGAGGTTATTCAATAATCACTGCCACTGCACTGATACTTGGCAATGAGGCGGATAGCGAGCGACAGAGACGAAGAAATCGGGCGCACGTAAATGGTGGGAGGGATGATTAGGGTTATCTTTGGGTGCATGAAGAGGGAATGGATTCATGGTTTGGCTTCGACCGAAACAGAGAAGAGAAGCAATCAAAACGCAAGTGGATGAATGTGGGCGTCTGCGATTCGCCAAAAGCGGCTTCTTTTCTTCCTTTAATTAAAATTTTATCTGAAAGGGGCAACTGCACCTGCTGCTTCTCCCATTGGCTCAACTTGGCTGCTTTGCTTTGGTTTTTTCTCACACCACAGAGACAAGGAGAAAGCCCATGATATCCATCCATCTTTGATGTTATCCACTGCTTACTCAACCACAAGAGGCCTGTTTCTCTTCCTCTCTCCACTTCCTTTTCCTTCTTATCTCTCTAACTCTGTTTAAAAAAAAAAAAAAAATTATTCTGCCGCGGCTTTAGTATTCTTCTTTTGAACTTTATCTTGTCAAAAAGGATTGTTGCCATAATCACATCTTTGGCTGAAGACTTTCCACGGTAAACTTTGGAGGATACCAATATGCACATCTTGCAGGGGAAGATAAAGAAATGAACAATGAAAGTTTAGCTAATCTTATTGGCTATTCTTTGATATAATTTTAGTTTTAGGCCTCATCACCTCAAAGATAGGTTTTTTTGGTTCACCAATGATTTATTCTCTAAGCTTATTGATGAACCAAATAAACTATTTTTGATATGCCGAGACTTAATGCCTGACTGCAAGTCATATTCTAGATGTGAATTTTTGGATCCTATGACGCACATAGTTATTACAATAAACAAATTTTGGATCTTATTACACACTAACTTAGTAAAAGAACAAATCTTTTGATCAGCAAGTTATATTATATACAAAGATCGTGTAGGATGTATGGAACTTGCATTGTCTCGTAGTCATGCTTATAAGCCATAATGTCATGGCTTCGCAATGTAGTGGAGTTCAGAGGCTACATTAAGAGAACAGTAACATTTTGAAGTCGTCTTTCAGGTGACTGGACCAATAGCACTTTCTGGGGGGAAAAAAACTGAGGTCATAAATCATTAATCTGAAAGGGGTGGTGGTGATGTGGTTTGAGTTTGCATCAGTGGTACTGAAATTAAAACATTTAAATTTAAATAATTGGTATGCTATTTAAATTTTTGGGTTTAGATGCTCCAATCTCTTAACTAATTCTTCTGTTAATCTACGGCTAATCGTAATATCCTTCTCTCTCTGCGTGCGTGCGTGCGTGCAGATGTGTTTTCCTCCTGCAGTCATGTACTTAAACTTTAAAGTAGGGAGGGAGAAATTCTAATGTTTTTCACCTTTAATTCTAGTCTTAGCTCAGGGAAAAATAACTTTACGTTGTATTTTGGATGCTTCATCTCTCTTCGCATGTTTTGGTGATGAGTATGTTTCCTTGAGACAATTTATGCCTGATAACTATGTTTAGTAGAAGTTTTTCTTGTTATGATTGTTAATACTAAATGCGACTGTGTTTCTATATATGTATATTCTCCCTTTCTTTCCCATAATACGTATAGTATTAATCGCAGCTCTTTCCTATGTCTTTTTCATTATGTAGATTGCTGGCTGAAGATTATGGTTAAAAGTCTAAAAATCCATGTCCCTGTCTTTGCAATGTAAATAATTGAACTTAAAAATCATACAAGGGAAAGCATGAGCTAGCACATGGTTTAGAGGGACAGGGGAGAGGCAGGGCAAGGAGGGTATGGAGTGTTTCTGTCTTGTATTTCAAAAGGTCTAAGTTCTCTGTTTGCTGAACCGATCCTAATGCTATTCAACTTGCTAAAACGGGGAAAATGGTGTTTTGCTAGCATACATAGTGAAAAAGACAAGGTTTAACAGTCATGGAGATTCTTCTGTCATTCTCTATAGGCTCTTGCTGACGTCTAGGTAGCTTTGGTCCCATAGTACTTGCCGGCAAGGTACCACTGAATTGAAATGCCAATAATTGTTCAATGTCATAAATACCCTCTGTTTTTCCTTATCGTCTCTCCTGTTATATCTTTGTATTATAACAATTATAGGCTGCGTTTTCAATCCCATCTTCATTTATTCAGTGAGGAGACTGAGAACAATTTTTTTTGGGGCGTTATGGTGGTTTTGAATTGATTATGTGAGTGTTAATTTTTCAGAGCACAGAACCACAGACTGGAAAATTCATAATTTTAGTTAATGAATCAGCAAGTCATAAATTCAACTTGTTCTGTGCAAGTTCTCTTTGTGGTTTTTGCTTTTCTTCCCTGAATACATTTATCTCCTGTAGACATGATGCTATTGTATACGTACGTCGAAGACATTTGATTATATAATAATAGAATGAAGGAAATGGATAAAACATATTAAGAAATCACTGAATGAAAATTTTTATCCCTGCACCTCCCAGCTTCTTAGATATATCAAAAACTGGAAAGGATAATTTTTTCCCCTCATCATAATGTCCCTTAATGTGGGCGCAGTGATCTTTTTGGCCGCTGTTGTGTGACTAACGGTTATTCCTTATTACCATGGCCTATTCTGTCCATAATTCTATCCCTAATTACTGGCTATTATACTCTGTTTGAAACTATAGACTGATTCCCTTACTTTTACATTCCCATATATTTGCTCAGTTGTTGATTAGTCCTCTGATGTTCCTGCCACTCTGTCAATAATGCTTGATTTCTTACTGATTATGTTAGTGTGATATGTGATTTTTTCTTTGATAGTTCATATGTACGTACATATTCCCTTTCCATTGAGTGGTTCAAAATTACAATTTGTTATGCTGAAAATAATATTGCTTCTTGTCGAAGAAGGAGACGCCATATAAGGCCATCACTTAGAAGTATCCATTTAAAGCGGGTAATAAAAACGGTAACAAAAGTAGTTTGCCAAAACAAGGAAAAAAACAAATATTTTGAAAGCCCTAGGTTGTCCCCAACTATTTATAACATCCATGAGGCCATCCAAGAAGACCAGGACTTCTCTGTATCAGTATCTGCCTCTGCCTCTGTTTTGTGTACTTTGTCTCTCAGAATTACAGGAGATAACCCATGATTCCACCAGCCCTTGGTCTCTCCTCTCAATTCTATTTACACCAAAGCTTATAGAAGAGACCATATTATAGTATTGAGGAATCCATCATTTTTAAGGAAAGAAACACAGGGAATGGAATTAGATAAACTCTGTAACCTTGAGGAAGAGCCTCATCTCTCTGGTGCTTATATCCGTAACCTAGTGAAGCAGCTAACCACCTCAAGAACAAAAGACTCCATGAACCCTAGAAACCCAGATTGTGCTGTTGCTGTTGATTCTTCCCAAGCTCGAAAGTTAACCAAACAAGAGAGAGTTTTTGATGGCCATCAGCCAAAGCAACCCACGCAACCCCGACAGCAGCATAAAAAACAAGTCAGGAGGAGGCTGCACACAAGTAGGCCTTACCAGGAAAGGCTTCTGAATATGGCAGAGGCCAGGAGGGAGATTGTCACTGCCCTGAAATTTCACAGAGCTGCTATGAAACAAGCTAGTGAACAGCAGCTGCAGCAGCAGCAAGAAACTCAGCAACAGCCGTCGGTATCCCTCCAGCCTCTGCAGCACTCAAGTTTTGAGCAAGATGGAAGAGTCAAGTCTAGGAGAAATCCTGGATCATACCCATCATGCACAACTAATTTCTCAAATTACATGGATGCTTTTTCTTATTCATCGTTGTCTCATCCTCTTCAGTCATTGCAAAATTCTTATACCTGCCCCGGCGCTTCTCCAACTGCTCCATCCCTTGTGCCCGAAACCCCCAATATCATGCTTCCAAATCAGACTCTGGGCTTGAATCTCAATGTTCATGATTTCACCAATTTAAATGCTACCCTTTACCTTGACAACGCCAACACATCATCACACTCGTATTCGTCTCCATCATCATCTTCTCCATCACCATCTATTGCAACTGATCAGGAAACTCCTCTAGCCGCAATATCACTGGGAGAGGAGACTGCTGCAGCGGTCCATACAATTGATTCCAGTGCTGTTGTCCAGGCTACTGGGGGCCTGCATACAGCCTTGGACGATGAGGGGATGGCAGAGATCAGATCCGTAGGAGAGCAATATCAAATGGAATGGAATGACACTATGAATTTGGTCACATCAGCATGGTGGTTTAAGTTTTTGAAGAGCATGGAACATGGAGCAACTGATGATAAGCCTGAAGATGATGCATACCATATTTTTGAGGAAGTCATGGACTTTCCAGCATGGTTGAATTCAAACGAAAGCTGCTTAGAGCAGTGCTCACAGGATTACTTCCAAGATCCCACCCTACCTTGGTAAGTTTGACCACAAATTTTAGAATTTTATAAATAAATTTCATTAGGAAGTCTTTCTTTGTTCTTTTGGTTGCTATGGAAAAGGAAGAAGTTTGTAGTTTGTTCGAGTCTTTTTGTAACAAAGCAAGAGACATTGTACTGGGTCTCAACTCATCTTTTTCCGTATGATATTTATTTGCCTGGCTAATAATTTGCTGTGAGTTTTGTTTTTTCCCTGGGATATTTGGTGTCTACCCGTCGGCTTTTTTTTTTTTTAAATGATAACAGATAACAGTAAAAGGAAACCAAGCTAAACAGGCCTACTGTCCTTCATCATCGTCGCCTTTCAAAACGAAAATCCTACGCATGCGTCTCCTTTAGGATATTCCACTGGGTTATTGACCAATGTTCTTAAGTTGTTATCAGGTATCAATATCATGGAGCATGTTTGGGATTGTTGGGGGTCTCTGTTTATGTTCAAACACTTTGAAAAGCTGTTTGGAAAAAAGTAGTTTGTGTGCGGTAAAATACTTGATAAGTGATCTATGAATGCTATTGCATCTAGCATTTTTTTTTAAAGTGCATTTTGTTATCAGGAGTTGAAAGCCTTCGGATTAACTCGGATTTTTGTCGGCTCCTATGGCTAATTGAAAAATAATAATGCTATTTACCAGTTTGATTAAATACTAATGTTTCTGGAATGGAAACAAACACATTTTGAAAAACTTGTCCTTCAAAATGTGCGTGTTTCCATCCAAAAATTTTGATGATGGAGCGTACAGTGTTTCTGTGTCAGAGAACTTATGGGCTTTTCTTGTTAAAGCTGCATCATCTTGACAAACCCAGAATATCTCTACTTTCTGAATTTTCTTTTCTTTGGAACTTCGTGAATTAGTCCATTTTGGAGAAATTCTTGAATACTCTAAGAGCACCCCATCATTTGTGTTCTAGCCAATAAATATATTCCTAACATGGAGTTCTTGGATTTTAAGAATTGAAAATTATGCTTTACATTTTTTTAGTATTTTACAACGCATGCATACTTTTATTTAAGTTATACTAGGGTTGATAAAAAGGATGTAGAAAACATATTGCAATGTACAGGATAAAATTAAAAGGAAAAAAAAAGATAAATCTTATGATAAATGTGAAAGATATGAATCCCACTATGTCTGATTAAGAGTTTTTTTTTTTGGTTTGGTTTAGCGCACAAATGACGTGTTACTTATTGGAATATACAAGAATTTCTGGACGATTTAATGCATGCATTTTTGGTTTTACTTACATTTGTTTAATCCACACTAATCCTTTTATATGTCGTTTTCACATTTCCTGTTTTTCGTATTTTCGTGACTCTAAAAAACAGCATGGACATTGGAGACATTGAAGGTATGGATGAGGAGTGGTTAGCGTGACAAGGATTTGATTATTTTTGGTTAAATCAAAACTTTGGTATCTTTTTGCTTTTTCCACCCGTTTGAGTGACCGCGGGATTTGATGCTGTAATTCCATTTTCTTCTTCTTCTTCTTCTTTTAATAAAATAAGGCTCGCAATATATCTAAAACGGCAGGCCACTAATAAATGAGACGAATATTGTTTTTTCATTGCGATCTCTCTCTTTTCTTTCCCACTTTTTATTCTAAAAGTATTTGCAAAATGAAAAAAAAAGAAAAAAAGAAGAAGAGATAAATGAAAAGGGGAAACCAAAAAAAAAAAAAGATAAGTATGGACGTCGCAGTTCTGATCGGTCATCTCATTACAGACCTTACTTTATTACGCCCGTCAGGACCACGCCATTAAATCATCACAACCAGAGACAAAAGAAGACGGTGGAAACAACAAACTGTTGGTTCACAGTGAGTGGCTTACTCCCTACAGAGGAAAGAACGTAACTTTTGAATATCAAGAAACGTATTTGTTAGGAAAAGTAAAAAAATTTTGCGCTTTAAGTCTAAAAAAAAAAACCTTGATCAAATTAAAAGAAAGAAAAAAGAGGACGGTGAGAAGGGGAAAAAAGGAAGGAAAATATAACACAGAAAATGCCGGGATAAAATGTACATTTAATATTCCAATTTTCGTATAGCTGCAATTTATTTTTAAAAGTTTATTGAAATTCTATGGGATTTATTAAAAAAACAATTAAGAAATTATCATCAAGATTTTAGAAATACTATCTTAAAAGAAAAAAATGATAAAAAAAACCTGAAAATTACTAAATTTCAAATCAAGTTTGGTAATTAATATTTTATTTAGTAGTGACAACACTGAATTTATAAAAACTATCATTATTAGAAGGATTATCTTGAAAAAAAATGCATAAATATAAGAGACAAAAGGATTAGGGTCTTATAATTAGGACCAAATAAAAAGTCAAATTTGGGTCTTATAATAGGACCGGGGAGTAGTTTTTTCATCTTCAATCTTGACTGAAAGTCATCAATGTTAAGACTTTCAGCATTCACATTACGCTTCCCAGCATTCGTTTTCATGAGCCGCCTAGGTTGAAATAATGAAATTAAGAAGCGAGATAAGTAATCAAAGCATCGAGAGACACAACATTGATGACAAAATTGCAATAAATTACTGCTTGTGATCCTATTTATAAATTTTAAATTTGAAAAAAAATAGTGTGATTCATTTTACAAGTTTCAATTTAGTACTCTCATAGTTCTTTTATAAGTCACTTCCAACATAGTTTATACATACTAAGAAAAATCTTAAACCTTATTAAATCTTATTTAAATTTCATAACTTTTCAGCCTTATCCTTATTTAATATACATTATACCTCATGTAAACAAAGTCACATAATAATAAATGAAGGGTAAAATTGTATATTCATGTAAAAAGTTTCCTCTTAATACCCTATAAATAGAATCAAAAAATATTTCTCTTTTTGCCTTAAAAATAGGACCAGAAGAGTATTTGTTTTAACATTTAATGTATTTTTTCTAATTTTGCCCTTAATTATTTATTTTCTATCCTTTGTCATGACTTTTCTTATACATTTCCCTACATATTTTTTTTCATCTTTTTTCTAATTTATTATAAGGGCATATTTAAAAATAAAAAATATTTCTAACCTATTTTATTGCTTTTAACTAATTATTTATTATCCATGAATTAGTTATTTAAGCTTATAATAACTACTACAGGAAGGAGTATACATTAAGTGAAAGTAGCTGGAGAACTCAATTTTATTACAGACGCACGAAGTACGTACATTTATTTCTTTGGCTGAAAAACAATGAGTAACGAAGAAGGGGAAGTTCTATACCTATAGCTTGTGTTTATTCTTGTGGTTAAATATAACAAGATTATCAACTTGTCTTGTGTTATATTCACTGATAGTCTTGGCTGGTATAGGGACTGAAAGCTTCAGAAAACCAGTTGGTCTTCCTCCAATGGCTCCATCCCATCTCTTGGCAAATCTCGTCACTGTGGTTGATGCTGAAAGTTGAAATGCAGTGTCTCTTATAGAAACGAGTGGTTCTTTTCATGACTTCTATTTCTTCAGACGTCTGTTCAATCATTTTCTTCACACTTGGAAGCTTAAATTGCTCATCTGCTAGTCTAGCCAGCCACTTGCATCTTAACTCTGCCGTCTGGAGATTTGACACACTTTCAACATACCCCACAAATGCCATGTTTGGAATTAACGGGTGGATCGTTCCTCTGTTCAACACAGTCAAATTAGCAAACCCATATGACAAATTCAAAAACTTGATGACTGTTTGATCTTTTTCATCTGAGTTACTTACCTGTACAAAGGCATGATCCCTGAAGAGTCCACAATTAAGCTTCGAAATGGGTCTGGAAGTAGAGATTGGAGCTTCTTCTTGCCATCATAACCAGTGGCAAGAACCACCACGTCGGCCTCCAATCTGGTGTTATCTTCGAATTCAAGTCCTCCGCTCCAGAACCCCCATTTGGAAGCCCTTTTGAACTTTATATTTCCTTTGTCTGCTTCGGAGAAGAAGTTCTCAGGCAAGATGGCCATTTGGCATGAAGCGTAGTCCTCCACAAATGGGTGGTCTGGTTTGAGCCCATATTTTTCCAAAGGAAGCTTCCAACTCAAGTATGATTCTATGAACTTGGAAATGGCTTTTCTCTGTCAATTTTGAAGAACAAAATACTATGTTAGGCTGTTCTTTGATATATATGATTGAAGTGGACAGAGAGGATTAATTTCAAAGTGAATTAGTGTACCATGGGAGATGAGAGAAGACAGAGAAGGGCTCTGAACAAGGTTTGATTAGGCCTTTCGTGCAGAAACTGAGAAGACCTTGTGGAATAAAACAGAAAAAACGGCAATCCCCATATCCAGTAAGATGAACCGTCCAGCGCAGAGTCCTTATCACCATCGTGCAAGGTTTCCCTTCGCATCCTTCAACGAATCCAACCAATTATTTTAAAAAGCAGAAGGAACCGGGGGGGGGGGGGAAAACCGGCTATCCCATTATAGTATATACAGTATACTCATGATATTAGTCTGAGTCCAGACTTTTTTTTTTTTTTTTAATTTTTGTTATAGAATAAAAATTAGGTAGACAAAAGGTCAACAAGTCAGGTGATGACGTGAAAACATGCATGATTTCGTAATCATGCATCTTGATGACATTTCCTTAGTTTGACCCCTCAGCTTTCTGACTCAGTGTAACAACCATCGGAAATAGAGTCTTCAT